ATCATCGATTCGTCCGCTCTCCTCTAATCTCCATACCCAGTATTTTCTTTGCAGTGCCCATGTCTTTCATCTCGAACTCTTTGCTAAGTTGAGATTTCAGCTTATCTATCTCCACCTTGTTCTTCGATGTAATAAGCATGTCATCTATATATAAAAGGAGACAGATATAATCACCTCCACGAAGCTTCCGAATGTAAACACAACAATCATATTCGCTTCGGGAAAACCCATGCTTTAGCATGAAGGAGTCAAATCGCTTGTACCACTGTCGAGAAGATTGCTTCAATCCATAAAGTGACTTCCTCAAGCAACATACATGATGCTCCTTATCCTCAATCTTGTAGCCCTCATGTTGATGCATATATATCTCTTCATTCAAGTCTCCGTGCAAGAAGGCCGTCTTGACATCAAGTTGTTCCAGCTCAAGTTCACCATGAGCAACAATACTCAATAGCACCCGAATAGAAGTGTGTTTCACCACCGGAGAAATATCTCATTGTAATCCACACCCTCTCTTTGTGCAAACCCCTTAGTCACTAGCCTTGCCTTGTACCTCGTACCACCGAGCTCTGAAGGATCTTCCTTTCTTTTATACAGCCACTTACAACCTATAGCTTTCTTTCCTACGGGCAATGGGACCACCTCCCATGTTTGGTTCTTCCGGAGAGATTCCATCTCCTCCTCCATCACAGCCAACCAACTCTCGCTATCTCTATCCTGAATAGCTTTCTTGAAGGAGACCGGTTCATCTTCCTCCACCGAGAGTGCGTACTCAACCAAATTAACCTGTCCATAGTGCTTCAGGGGTTGATCAGCCCCCAGCTTTCGTACCTGCTTGTATGCTCGCTTTGGCCTAGTAGAAGCCAAGCTATCCTCGAGCTGCTGTTGTTGTAATGCCTGTGTATTCTCCTGCTCAACCTCCTCCTGCTCAAGCTCATCATCTACCTGATTTTCCACTTGAACATGACTAGAACCTAGTTGGTCTTTAGGTTCTATATCAATAACCTGGGACTTAGAATTCCCAACAGTCTCAACACCATCATCCTTGGGCACCTTAGCAATCATGAACTTCTCATCAAAGGTAACGTCCCTGCTGATCACGAACTTTAAATCTTCTATACACCAAAGGCGGTAGCCTTTTACGCCCTTTGCATACCCTAAGAAAATTGTCTTCTTGGCCCTCGCGTCAAGCTTTCCCTCGTTGACGTGATAGTAGGCGGTACACCTAAAAATTCGGAGCCTCTCATAATCTGCATGCTCCCCTGACCACACCCGATAGGGTGTATCACCGTCCAATGTCGAATGTGGAGATCGATTCACTATATAGCAAGCTGTAGCAATCGACTCTGCCAACCATTCTTTGTCCAAACCAGCATAAGATCGCATACTCACTGCTTTCTCCCACAGTATTCGGTTCAGTCTCTCCGCGATCCCATTTTGCTGTGGTGTAGATCTAACTGTCCAGTGTCTGGCAATCCCCTCCTGATCACAGAACTCCTTGAAGGCACCATCTGTATACTCTGTACTATTGTCAGATCTCAATGTCTTTAATTTCTTTCCTGTCCTGTTCTCAACCATCACCTTCTACTCCTTGAATGTCTCAAATACCTCATTCTTATGCTTCAGAAAATAAATTCAAGCATATCTCGAATGATCATCTATGAATGAGATAAAATATCTGGAACCACCCTTGGAAGTTATCGAAACCAGACCCCAAACATCCGTGTGCACATAATCTAGTATACCTCTGCTCTTGTGATTGCTTTTCAAGAACTGAACTCTGTGCGCCTTTTCATACACACAGTCCTCGTAAAAATCCATGCAAGGCTTCTTCAGATTCTTTAGCAAACCCTCTTTACCAAGCAGATCCAGACCCTTCTCTGACATGTGCCCAAGCCGTCTATGCCATAACCGTGTGTGCTCACATGGGTCTCCACCACTTCCATCAGTTCCAACCGCTGCATCTCCTGTCACCGTCGTACCCGAGAGAGTATATAGATTACCGTGATGAACACCCTTCATCACTGTTAGGGAACCTCGAACAACCTTCTTTACTCAGTTCTCTGTAACAATCTTGCAGCCACCGGAGTCCAATGCACCCACTGAGATAAGATTCTTCCGCAAGTCGGGAACATGTCGTACGTCCGTTAGGGTTCTGACCACTCCATCATGCATCTTGATTTTTATATCACCGAGCCCTACCATTTTATAAGCATGGTTGTTCCCCATCAATACGGTTTCACCATCAATGCTCCTGTAGGTAGTGAACCACTTTCTATTTGGACACATATGGTAAGAGCAACCAGAATCAAGTATCCACTTCCCGGAGGTATCCTCGCCACCCGTGACGACATAGCATTCTTTATCGCTCCCTTTCTCTGAAGCATAGCTCACTTCTTCCTTGCCTTCTCTCCTCTCAGTCTTATTATTGTTCTTCTTCCCACCTACTCTCTTGTTTCTCTTCCCGCAAGGGGTCTCGATTTAGATCTAGACTTTCCTCCCTTACCTTTTCCTCGCTCATTGCTCCTTCCTCTAGCAAACAATCCCTGCGCTTGTTCTTTGTTACCACCAATAGTCATGTCACTGGTTGTAATCTTCCGAAGGTCATCCTCTAGAAGCGCCGTTCTAGTCTCATCCATCGTCAAATTGTCTCCCACAAGCATCAGTATTTGCACCAGGTTCTCATAAGACTTCGGCAGAGATAGAAGTAGTAGAAGCGCCTGATCCTCATCTTCTACAGTCACACATATCGATGTCTTTCAAATTCGATATTATCCTATCAAACTTGTTGATGTATTCCCGGATTGATGAGCCTTCCTCCATCTTTACAATTTGGATTTTAAATAGATCCGGTTTGTTAGACTCTTCGTCACGAAGGTGCTCTCTAACTTTAACCACACGCCCGCAGCCGTTTCCTCTCCATCCACCAAGAAAGCCACATCCCTTTCAAGACATAGGATAATCGACGCTCGTGCTTCTAAATCTAGCTCTTCCCAATCCTCATCAGACATGTCCTTGTGCTTTTTCTCTTTTCCCGCCAAAGCTTTGTGCAACTTTTGCGAAATCAACGAGTTTTTCATCTGCATCCTCCAATAGGAGAAATCATTCTTCCCATTGAACTTTTCGATCTCGTACTTTCCAACTTTAACTGTTTTACTTGTTGACGCCATTCTCCGCTTGTATAAATAAATTCGTTTCTCTCAGAAATTCCAACAAATATCTTGTGTCAACCACCACCTCAGATCAGTAGCTCAACCACCGTCAATCTGAATAAGGGTTCTGATACTAATTGTTGGGCGCAGAGACACGTCCTTACGCCGCGGAAGCGATATCACCTGAAAGAGAGCTCTGCCTTTTGTTATCACAAAAGCACAAGTCAACCTCTATATTCTTGTTTCTCAAAGGAAACTAGAATAGATAGTGAAATTCTTATTTCTCAAAGGAAATAAGAATCGAAAGTGAGATATTTCAACAAAGTAAAATATGCACTCTTCCTTTCATCAGTTCTAGGACTGAAATGTCGAGGGAACCTACAAGCAATGACAACTTATAGTTAAGACAATACAAACACGAGATTTACGTGGTTCGGCAAACTTGTCTACGTCCACGGGAGAGGGGGTTTCACTATGAGGAGAATATCAAACTATTACAAGTTCTCTCTTCCTCTCTCTTTGTTTTCCTCTCAAATTCAGATTTTTCTGCACACTCCTCACTACCACACTAGGAGAGAGGGAAGAGAGAAATCAGCTCAAAAAATTGAGCTCGGAAGGAGGAGAAACCCATGCTTTGTACTTCCACACACAACATGCTCCCATGTTGTCCCCTGTACAAAGCTCCCCCCCGCTCCCCCCTACTGACCCATGTACAAAGGCATGGGGGGCATTCTTTGTCCCTTGTCCTCCCCCTTTGTCCCGTGTACCTCCCCTATGTTCACAGAATTTATATAGGAATAATGCTTTCCCCCTAAAAAAGAAGGAATTTGTAAGAGCTCATGCGGTGAAGAGAGGAGTGGCGCTTTGGAATTTAGTGAAGGAATGAACACCGTCATCATTGTCTCTAGGTTATCTTTGCGTGGACATCAAGTCAAAGTCAGTTTTGGATTTGAGCCTCAATGAAATTTACACGCAAATGTGAGTTATAATGGTAAAAATGTAATGTTTGTCAAGGCATATGTCCCAAAATCACAATTATAAAGTTTCACAAGACTAACTTGAATTTTATGAGTTTGCAAAAACATTATAGCGAAGCTGATTTCAAGAATTTGAGATAAAGTTTGTCGCAATTGTTCCAAAAGCCCAGTATGAACCTCTTTTGTAAGAGAAAATTAGCACTAAAATTTTCGCTTTGACATGTTCGGCAATTGAAAAATAAAAGGAAAAGTGAATTAAAATTTGGAAACAAGATCCACTTCTTATTTTCTGAAAAGTGATAGGAACGTGGAGATTGGCACCACATTGACCTTTCTGCTTGTTTCATTTTTTAAAATTATCCGAGAAAGTCGATGAAGTAAATAGAAAGCTGCATGAAACTCGATCATTTTTTACTTCTTGTTCTTCCAAACATCCGCTCAGAGAGAATGCACTCTTATATACTATTTACAAGGATGATTAACTTTTTTTTTAAAAGAACCACCCAATTACGAGGGATGTCTATAAAAAAGACCAACTATTTTTATTTTTTTAGCAAATCCTCAGGGTTTTAGGGATCATAGATAACTTCTGTCAACTTTGAAAATTTGACTTGAACCTTCTTAATTTTGAAATTTGACTTCTCAACTTCAGTATGTCTCAAAACATCTGTCATTACACTTTTCTTCACAAACTCTCACATGATGTTGTTATCAAAACGTGATATGACCACAAAACCCCCATTTTAATAAAAAGAAACTCCCGGCTAGCTTAAAAAAAAAAAAAACCAATCCATTTACCTCACCTCACCGCAAGCACGCACCAACCATTTTAGGATATAAAAGCTGAGCGTTTTCTTTAACTTCGGGGTACTTAAAAGTATTAAAAAAATGTAAACTTCCGGAGTATTTAAGTACAAACAACCCCAACGATAAATATTGCACAGCAGCTAATTGTTATAAATAGTACAAGTTCACCTGACAATCTAAATATTAGGACCGGACCACTAAGGATATACAAAATAACCCAACGAAGACAACCAACATGCTATAGCAAGCATAATAGAACCAAGTCAGATGCACCTTCATGAGACGAGAGATGAGTTACACACGCCCCTCCGGTTTGCTTGGCATCTCCAGCTTTGGTATGTTCCTTCTGACAAACCGAAAACGAAGAGGTTTACCTCGAGTTTTCGCTCTATTACTGCCTTCTGCCTGTTCGCTGATAGCAGGAGTATCTGCTTCAGCACTACTAGTGTTTTCTGATTGTTTGTGGATAACGGGAGTATCTCCTTCAGCAATCTTGTCATCCAAATCTCCAGCTGGCTCATGATTTGCTTTTATTATGTAAACCTGCAGTGACACAGAAATACTAGGGGTCAGGATACACAAGTTTCATGTTTTAAGGAGCCAGTACGGAAGAGATCAAGTATTAGTATAACTTTCTACATTTCCAAGATTTAATTAAAGTAATCCAAGTTCAAAAAATGATCAATTTTTAATAAAACATTCTACATTTCCAAGATGGTGTCAGAGTAATCCCGGCTCAAAGGGGATCAGTTGTAAATATAACATTCTACGTTCCAAGTTCCAAGATGGTATCAAGAGTAATCCAGGTTCAGACCCCATTAGCCTTGGATATGGAGTGGATTAAAGAAAAATCCTACGGGGTTGGTCTATCCTCCTGCCTATGAAAAGAGCAGACAATCTGTGAGGGCGTGCTCTGGGTATATGATTATTAACTACCAGCCCTCATCACAACTCTGAAGTTTTGTCAGATTGGGAGGATCTTTTAAGATTCGTCAATTGCATAAGCATCCAACTATTGTGTTTGTACTTGGGTTTCACATTTATTTAGACCCGAGGTATGGTATTATGACTGTTGAGGATCGACGTCGTCGTTGTTTGGCTCAGAAGCCTGATAAAACCAGACCTTGTTCTCCTCTCTAGTGCACCACCAAGAACACAAAGAGAGAGCTCGCTGATCTTCTCCTTCAGTCACTCACAAAGAGGAAAGGGGATCGCACAAAGGGGGTGAGAGCACAAAGCTCACAGGGGAGAGGGGAGGATCGCACACAGCAGAGGAGCTCAAGCTCAGCTTTCTCTTCACTTTCTCACCTTCTCTCTCAGCACTTCACCGATCTAACAAAGGGGGTAGCCGACACCAGGTAATGGGCTAGGGTAGGGAGCCGACCTACAGAAGGGAGATGAGACTAACAGCGACAGCGAACAGAACACAGAGATGGGAAAGGGATTGAGTATCATCGGGTAGGAGAGAGGAATAGAGGGGGCTAGGGCAAATGTAGAGGAGAACTGGGCATTTAGGTAACATGCCATCAACAGGCCTTTTGGGCCAACTAATATCAACACCTAATATTACTCAAATCCTTACTCTTCTCTTCTCTAATCTTAGCAAAGCTTATATATATCTCTCTCTTCCTCCTTAGATTCTAACTTCTTATAGAAATTCTCATAAACCTTGTACCTTGCTAGCCTATATTTATCCAAGTTTTCCTTACTCCTACACTTTTGCCACTCATTATATAATATTTTCTTCTCTCTAATCACTTCTTGTACATCCTCGTTCCATCACTAACTCTCCTTACCATCTAATCTACAATCTTTAGATTATCCTAGTATATCTGTAGTCACCTTTTTAATACACTAGTACATGCTATTCCACATAATATTAGTCTCATTATTCATATTTCATATATCTTCACATCTTACCATACTCAATACTAAATATTCACACATCATCACCAGGTAGAAATAGTCTGCCTTCAAGTTCCATTACTCTTAAATTCTTTGTATATCATATTAAAATTTGATTGTAACTATAGTTGCACGAAGAATTGATAACTGAAAGTCTGAAGAAGCATAATTTCATTGCACAAAGTAATCAACTAAAGTTGTACAAAGAATTAAACTGGACTCTGAAGAAACATACTTTCATTTCACAAAATAATCTATGCAGAGTTTTTCAACGACTACAAGTGTTACAGACTCCTAATGTTTGGCAGTCTCACATATAATTCAGCTACAAGCTAGCTAAGGAACCCCATTGCTTTTCCGGATCTTCATTTTCCTAATTGTCTTTGTCCTTGATAAAGAGAACAGCTTGGCAACTTTCATTCACCTGTTTATATTGTTTGGAAAAAAAACAGTACGCGGTTCTCGACCTGTTTTACTGAATGTAAACTAGATTTCACGTACTTTATCTGTGCTCCACACTTCACGTACTAGGAATCTTAAGCCATTCCGTTTATTTTTCCTTCTGGAATCTTTTTCTCATTGTCTATAATCTCCAGATTGCGAAGCTCATCCTTGCTGGCTAGCAATTTTCAAACTTACTTCCTTTTTGTATAGGTAACCGTAAAGGGGTCTTGTTAGCTTTATCCAATCATAGTGACTAGAATCTGCTCTAGGATCATAACATCACATTATATTGGAGAATAAGTGGAGTGTGAGCCACAATAAGATCTTGCATCTGCCTTGCACCTTCTTGGTACAAAAGCAGCTACATATTGTCTAGTGAGTTCCTGAAAGGATAGAGAAAAGCTATATATGCCAAGTATCAAAGTTTTGCAATTCGAATATTCTGATGACATTATATGCCAATGGTCTATAATATCATATGTCAATGTATCTAAAATGGAACAACAAATCAAAAGGGCATGATATTTTGGAGAGTTCTAGATTCACTTAGGTGCTGCATGCAACCTCAATTAGAATTTGGGGAGCAAGGTTACCTGCCCAAACAGGGCAACCGAAATGCAGGATATTTCTCAAGGTTTCAAAATCTGGATACGTCATTCGACTCGACAGAATGGGAAGATAATTGTTCAAATACATTCCAGACTTAAGAGTACGCCGGAATTCTCAAAAGTTCCTCACAACATGTTTTTTTGGTACATAATGGCATTGTCATTGTTGATATTAGTTGGCCCAAAAGGCCTGTTGATGGCCTGTTACCTAAAGGCCCGGTTCCCCTCTACATTTGCCCTAGGCCCTTAGCCCCCTCTATTCCTCTTTCCTACCCGATGGTACTCAATCCCTTTCCCATCTCTGTGTTCTGTTCGCTGCCGCTGTTAGTCCCATCTCCCTTCTGTAGGTCGGCTCCCTACCCTAGCCCATTACCTGGTGTCGGCTGCCCCCTTTATTAGATCAGTGAAGAGCTGAGAGAGAAGGTGCGAAAGTGAAGAGAAAGTTGAGCTTGAGCTCCTCTGCTGTGTGCGATCCTCTCCTCTCCCCTGTGAGCTTTGTGCTCTCACCCTCTTTGTGCGATCACCTTTCCTCTTTGTGAGCGACTGAAGGAGAAGATCAGCGAGCTCTCTCTTTGTGTTCTTGGTGGTGCACTAGAGAGGAGAGGAGAACATGGACTGGTTTTATCAGGCTTCTGAGCCAAACAACGACGACGTCGATCCTCAACATTAGGTGTACTAAGATCAAAGAGTTCTAGTAACTGATGGGAAAATAAAAGGAGGTGAAGGAGTTATTTTCATAAATTGTTTAATAATAACCAAACAAGTGAGCAACAAAGAAAACTTGACCATATAGTGAATAATAGAAATTATGGATATTGTCAAAAAAAAAAAAAGAATTACTAAGGTTAAAAATGCTCTAAAGAAAATTAAAAGTGGAAGAGCAACATGACTAGACGGTATCCTAATTAAAGTTTGAAAATGTCTTAGAGATATAGGCTTAGAATAGCTAGCAAGGAAGAAAGCAAAAAAAACGGTTAGTGAAACTAAATACAAGGTTTATGAGAATTTCTATAAGAAGTTAGAATCTAAGGAGGAAGAGAGAGATATATATAAGCTTGCTAAGATTAGAGAAAAGAAGAGTAGGGATTTTAGTAATATTAGGTGTACTAAAAGCTAAGATCAAAGAGTTCTAGTAACTGATGGGAAAATAAAAGGGAGGTGAAAGAGTTATTTTCATAAATTGTTTAATAATAGCCAAACAAGTGAGCAACAAAGAAAACTTGACCACATAGTGAATAATAGAAATTATGGATATTGTCAAAAAAATAGAATTACTAAGGTTAAAAATGCTCTAAAGAAAATTAAAAGTGGAAGAGCAACAGGACGGGACGATATCCTAATTGAAGTTTGAAAATGTCTTAGAGATATAAGCTTAGAATGTTTAACTAAATTATTTAATAATATTGTCGAGACAAAGAGGAGGCCCGATAAGTGGAGGATTAGTACTTCGACACCAATATACAAAAATAAGGGAGATATACAAAGTTATTCAAATTATTATGGTATAAAACTCATGAGTCATACTATAAAATTTTGAGAAAAGATAATTAAGCAAAGACTAAGAAAGGAGATAAGTAAATCTGAAAATTAATTTGCTTTTATGCCAGGAAGGTCAACTATGGAACTTACATATATTTTGAGACGATTGATGGAGAGATATAGAGAGAAGAGAAATGAGCTACATATGGTTTTCATAGATCTAGAAAAAGCTTATATAGAGTGCCTAAAGAGGTCATGTGGTAGGTTTTAGAAAAGAAACATGTATCTAGTATGTATATTAATGTGATTAAAGATATGTATGATAGAGTAACAATTAGAGTAACAGCTAACAAAGGAGAGACTAAAGTGTTACCTATTACTACATGTTTATACTAAGGGCTAACATTCAGTCCTTATTATTTTGCATTAGTTATTGACCAACTTACTAGCACATTCTGGATGAAATCCCATGATGTATATGCACATTCAGGATCAAATCCCATGGTGTATATTATTTACGGATGATATAATGTTAGTTGACGAAACTAGAAGAGATAATTTCTAAAGTAGAAAGGTGGAGATAAGCTTTTGAATCTAAAGGTTTTAGAATAGTAGAACAAAAATAGAATATATGAAGTGTATTTTTGGTAAAACTAAGAAACAAAAAAGCCAATAGTACATATTAATGGTAAAAAAATATTTAAATATAATCATTTCGGTATTTAAGATCAATCATTCAGCATGATGGCGAGATTGAGGATGATGTTGTTCATCAAATCAAATCGAGATGATTAAAATGGAGGAGTGCTTCGGGAGTTTTACGTGATCGTAGAATACAAATAAAACTAAAGGGAAAATTCTAAAAGACGGTTATAAAACCAACAATGCTTTATGAGTCAAAATGTTGGACGATTACAAAACATGTGCAAAAAAGAGTATAATAGAAATGAGAATAATGGTCTTGTGGGTATACAAAAAAGTAGGATAAAAAATAAGCGCATCCGTAGGAATTTAGAGGTTGCACCTACTAAAGATAAAATGAGAGAGAATCAACTAAGATGGTTTAATTATATACAACAAAGATCTCTTAGCGCACCGGTTAGGAAAAGTAATAGTATTATAGTTAATGGGTCTAGGAGATCTAGAGGTAGACCTAAAAAAACTTGGTTGGAAACAATTAAGAAGGTATAATTACAGAAAAAATATGATTCATGTAGCCAACCCCAAATATTTAGGACAAAGACTTTGATGTTGTTGTTGTAGTATGGTAAGATGTGACCAGTAATCATGTGTTGTAAAGAGGTAGATATTATTAAAGGAGAACCTTACGAGTAAGCAAGAAAACCACAACTAAGCATAAATGTACCTTGAATCTTTTTGGCTCGGTTAACACAAATAGTAAGGCGTCCCCAATTTCCAAATTATGATCTTCTCCAAAACCTTTCCACCCACCACGAAGCCCACCGCGGTATCCAATGTAGTTGACATTGTGTTCTACACCCTTTTCATCTTCTAAAACCATCCTCACCCGATCACGAGTAGGAAGGTTCTCCTCGCAAAACTTTGGTGGAAAACCCTTAACAAGAAAAAAGATAGAATTTGCAAATGTAAGTTGTAATAAAATATAGTGGTCAGTCTCCATCTCTTTTTAATTATTTTAAGCTTACAATCCAAAAGCTGGTGGATACATGTGACCGCATCACAGATTTAACAAACGAAGGGTGGTCAGAGTTCAAGTTTCTCTGTAGCTCCTCTGCTCTCGTAATTGCACGATTTTTCTCTTCAGAGGACGCAATCCTTCCAGTATATCCTCGTTCTCGATTTTGAATCTTAGAGTTTCTATCTCAGAGATGATAGCCAAAAATGGCACTGTAAGGACCAAAAAAATAAAAAAAACAAAGGAAAAAAAACAAAAACAAAAAATGCAGATGATTCAAACTGCAATTATACCTTCTGCAGTAAGATCGAGGTCCTAGGTCAGCAGCAACCTGAAAGAAATACTTCAGCACTTCATTAATCTAGCATGGGTATAAATTGATTTTTCTACAAATGTTTCACTATATAATGTGGCATGAGATGAAACTCCTCAAAGGGACCAAGTACAGGATATTTATCTATCCATGTGATCTATTTGCTTCTTACCAACTTCAAGCATATTTCCATTTATGCATAGTTTCTAAAATGAATGCGGGGTGCCAAAAATTTTATACTGACATTCATACGCATATCTTTATTAACTAATATGAGTTTACATTTTCCATAAAATTTTAAAATATAGAAGGTGAGCACTAGAAAAGAGCATATTTGGCAATCATATGAAGTAAAATGTGCACATAAATTATGGTTATGAATGTTTACTGAATCACAAAGTTAGAAGCCAGTAGTGAGACAGTTGTTCATGAGTACATTAGAGAGGTTGTAAAAATCCAACGTGAAACATAACTTACAGCTTTCAACTCATTCTTCTAAACCTGAATTCAAAAGGAAGATAACTTACACCGTCATAGTCAGATATAACAGAATTTCTTGCAGTTGAAGAACACCTTGCAATGAATGATTTAAACTTTCTCTTCGATCTGGGGCTTCTATTCCTCGTCTGTAAAACAGTGAAAGCCATTTAGATTTATAAATTGCTTTTCTGGATCCTAATTGCATAGGCATAGCATAATTGATATGAGGTGAAAGAATTTTTGAATCTGTTAATAGTCATTGAAATGCGCTTCCTATAATTGTCTCAAAAAAGAAAGATTATAATGTATTATCTACCTTCCTCACGAAAAAAAAGTATTATCTACCAAAAAAACTTTCTTTGTTGCAACCAAGGTTTTAAATATCGGATGTCGGGTTCATGTCGGATGGCTAAAATCCATATCGGATAACGGAAATCGGGGATATATCGGGGGACATTGACTAAATATCGGATTGCCATATCGGGTAGTGCGCATATGTATAATATCATGTCCTAAATGTAATCTAAGCATTCATAAATTCAATATAAGCATACTTTATAAATTCTATAGACTAAACATATAAAAAAGTAAATAATATATGGATTTGGGTTCATAAATTCTTTCTATCGGGTTCATAAGGAACCCTTAAACATGAGAACGAGTCAAACGGGTTTGGGTATTTATCACTAAACCCAATCCCGATAATAAAAAACAGATCTTAAAAAAAGTACCATATCGGTCGATTTTTCAAAGCTAAAAATAGGCCGATATGCCCGATATGACCCTCATATTTCCGATTTTGCCCTGAAAACTGATATACGAGTTAAAAATGTCCATGTCGTGTCGGTCAAGCCCTCAAACCGATATGTCGGCCGACATGTCGGACATGTCGGCCGACATGTCGGACATGTCGGCCGATATTTAAAACCTTGGTTGCAACCGACAAAAATATAATCAGACAAAACCGCATTTTTCTTTATTCAGAACAGATGAAGAAGAAATCCAGTTCCATCCAATTAACTCTTTGAAGAAATTATTTGAAGGATAAAAGCAGCGGTAATCTTACCAATAACTTGTACTCGCTTTTTGCAACCTCCAAGAGGCCTTTCGAATTCAGCCCAAAACCCTGATACATAAAGAGCGATGCAACTAAAGTTATTTGAAAACATGGAATAGATTCTCAGAAACTTTTTTGTCTTTATGTATTCATAAAAGTATTCCAATCTCATAAGTTATTTGTGAATATTAACTTATAATTGAAAGTGGAAGCTTCAATTTTTTTTGGATTGTCAAACAATTCAGATAATTGGACGCTTGAAGAACATTACACTTTACAGACATTGTGACACTTCATACATTAATGTAGTAACAATGAGCCTACAAAGGACACTGCTACTACACCAAAACTCTGAAGTTGTCAGGGTGGTTGAGGGTCATAGTCTCATGATGGGGATTGATGGTCATAGCTCTGTACTCTAACATGCTCCCGCAAGTTGAGTGGCTTTTCATGGGCCGAAACTTGGACTCACAAGCTATATTTTTCTTTTGTTTTATAAAGCCGCTTTAGAATTTGTGGCAATAAGATCTGAACCCGGGTTGCTCTTTATACCATATCAAATGATCTGCCACTACAACACACTCGAAAGTTGTGATAAGTGTTGAGGGCTATAGTTTTATACTCTTAACAATCCCCATCCTATTAGCGATGTAAAACTCATGCAACATGTAAAGTTAAAGCACAGTATTAATATACTATCACCAGAATAGTTCATTCCTTTGAATTCCTACAGGAGGTTCTGACAATGTAACCAAATTTGACTCGTCAGATAAAAGGTACTTCTCAATTGCAAACTGTCACTGGACCTCTCACTACAAAGGATCTTCGCGAGTGTTTGCTCAAATTTGTACCTTTTTTTTTAAATTGAACCACTCCTTGAGACACCTTTGTCAATTGTTGGGCACGTTTTAGGCACATGTTACATCTCAAATAATTCATATATTTAAATATGGCATTCACTTTGACGAAAAGGATGTCAAAATATATACTTTCGCAAAACTATGATGAAATCAGATACATTCTAATAGTAGAAGTTAGAAACCTGTTATAGAAAGTCAAGGCTACCCTTACGCAAAAGGGTAGAGAAATGTTTGATTTTCTCTTTTAGCATTAGTAAAGATTATTTTATATGGAAACATGTGTTAACATAACAAGTGAATATAACCCTCTTCGTGTCGCTTTGTGCCTCTATACACTTCTTTAGGAATTATCAGGTTAGAATGTTGCGTCTTTCCACGTCCGTATTTCATTTTCATGCCCAAGATTACTAGATCAAGCACAGTTATTGTGTCGTCTTTGAGATAAGGGAGTGTGCATAGAGGAAAGAATAAAACAACGGCAATCTTGGTATATAGAGATAAAAGAAAGACCGTAAAATAAATTGCACTAGAAACTTGAAGGCTTAACATTGTGCAAAGGGCCTTTCAGATTAAGATTTATAAGTTCTAGCAGCTGGTCAAACAAGTCACCAGGGTTCTGTAGTAAGGCTAGCTCCCCGTTGGCTATTTGATAAATTTCACCTGATTTTGACATCATACATTTTGCAAAATAAACTGTTAACCAACAGAGTATCAAAGGAGGTTGTTCTATGGTAATATGCTAGTTAGAAAAAGGACCTATTCAAATCCTAATGGGGAGTAACCGGGGCACCTACTTCTCAAACAACAACAACAACAACAACAACAACAAAAGAAGGCAAATAGAAAACATTACTATTATAGTAATAACTGTTATAATGTTGAACATATATACAAACATATCAATTTAGCTATAAATGCAATATGACTGCTGTAAAAATATATTTTCTATATAACAATTATAGCATTGAAAAACCTTAAGAGTTAAACTATTCGAAATTTTCTATATCAGGATATTCATTTAGCTATAAATGCAATATGACTGCTGTAAAAATATATTTTCAAAAGCTTACTTATGCAACAAAATGAAATGCGTAAATAATTGCATGACATTAATGAATAAAAGGAAGAAACACCAACCAAACAATCTATATAACTCAAGATAATGCTTAAATGCGTTTCCAAATCCTAAAGCCTCAACCCTCTTTCAAACCCTCTGATGATTATTTTCAAAAATCTAGTTATGAAACAAGCTAAATGACATAACTAAATGCACCAAAATTAGCTGACTAACAGAAGAAACATTAACCAAATCCTAAAGCCTTAGACCTCTTTCACGCCATTCATCGGTACTAAAGGAATTCGGCTATCCGCCTCTTCATCAACCTCGGTGTCTCCTTCATCACAAGGCTCCTTGCACTCATCGCCCTTATCGGCCTCATAACCCACTTCCATAACCCTTTTCTTCTTCAATTGCCTCAATAAAACCCCATCATCGCTCTCGCCCTCACTCTCACTGTTGGCAGCTACGAGCTCCCGACTCCTCTTTTGCTCGGGAGTCACTACACGATCCTCTTTTCCTCTCTTGGGCATTTCATCAGGCATCTTCACCGCATTCCCTCTAAGCCCAGAAATCTCACCCTCCAGCTCCTCACACTTCCTTCTCAATTCAACAACCTCTACAAACTTCTCTCTAAAGTCCCTCTCTTTCCTCTCCAATTCCTCCACCAAACTCTTAATCCTCTCTCTATCTTTAACCTCTCTTTCTCTTAAAACACCACAATCCTCTTCAAGCCTCGCAAGTTTCTCCTCGAGGGCCGAGCAATTTCTTTGCCATTTCTCGGCATCTTGCCGAGCTACGAAGTTGGCGATCTCCAGCTCGGGGATCTTGGCCCCATTACTGCTGGTTGCGGGCTCGAGCAGCATCTGGTTTGTGTTTCCTGCAATTATTGTAAGCTGTTAGTAAAATGGGGGGATGGGGTTTTGGAGTTTTGGGGTTTTGAGCTCACCAAGATTGCTGATGGCGGCCATCGGACACAGCGGAGAGGAGGGAGAAGGCGCTGAAGGGTGAGAGTGATGTGATGGACTTGAGTTCTGGGTTTTGGAGGTGGTGGGTTGTTGACACGTGTCGATAAACGTGGCATTGGGAGGGGAGAAGTGTTCAGACAACTGGCAGGTGCCCGGAGTATGAAACCTCGGGTCCTTCGCGACGTTCTGTTCATAGGAGTGTTTTTTCCTTAGCCGTTCGAGTCTTTCATATTATGGCATTAGACCCACCAAGTCCTCATGTTTTGAAGCCGGTACCCCAATCATGTTAAATGTTATGAAATTAGTCCTCTAGATCTTTCAACCTGGTGCTAAACAAATAGACTAATGTCAAACTATTGTAAATATGTGAAGGAATAGTTTTAAAATACGAAAACCGTGGGACTAATTTCATAAAACTCAAAGACTTGGGTTGAAAGTATGAAAATCTGAGGGACTAGTATAAAAAATATGAAAGATCCTGGGTAATAATATAGAAAATCCCTTTTGCTAACTTTGATAATTAATTTTATTAAATTCCAGTCAAACTTACAATGACATTACCTAATAGAAACGTCCGAGCCACTTGTCCTAACACTTCACTATGCGTGAACCGCATCTTTCATATCTTATAATTAATCCCCCGATCTTCATACTTTAGATGAACACCCCCCACCCCAAAACCCAAATCTTTAGGTGTTTTGACCCCCCCCAAAAAAAAAAAAAAAAATTCATATTTTAAAATATGTTAAATCTCTTAAAAATAATCATCCTCTAGATCTTTTAACCTGGTGCTAATTAAAGAGATTAATTTCAAAATATTTCAAATATCTGAAGGACTAATTTTAAAATATGAAAATTTGTGAACTAATTTCAAAATTTAAAAGGGTTGGTCTGAGAGTATGAAGGTTTGAGGGACTGATTACAAAATATGAAAGGTGAGGGGACCAATACTGAAAATTCCATTTTGCTAAACTTTGATAATTAATTTTAATATATTCTAGTCAAACTTTTGTAAGTGACCACTCGTCGTACTATAATGCCACGTGTCAACCACTGCATTCCCCAAATCTTTATGGTTTGTATGAACTCCGAATTTTTATGTCTTTTAAAATTAGGGGCTGTTTGGTTGTTGTTGGTAAAGTTGTGTATTTATGACACAACTTAGGAAAGTTGTTGTCCACCTCATCAATTTCATTTTTATACTTTTCTTTGTTTGTTTTTGGTTCCATTAGAATCATAAAACAATTGTTTGGTTTGCAAAATGAAACTTTAATTGTTTGTTTGGAAAGTGTAAAAAGTGGTTCCTACTCAAATGATCATATTTGTTGGAGTTATTTTATATTATTTTTTCCTAACTTCAATGTTAGCTTTCTCCTAAAATCATGTATTTTTTTCATGAAATCACTTTACAAGCCACATCAGCATATGAAATCACTTTACACTATTTTCACAACTACAAACAAACAATTGAAAGTGATAAAAGCTGACATTGGGACCCACTTTTTTACACTTTACATCCTTTTACATGGTAAAAACATACAACCAAACAGCCCCTTAGTTTCCTAAGTCAATCATATTTTGAATTTAGTCCCCATAAATATTTAAATATTTTGAAATTAGTTTTCAAGATTTTTAAATCTGATGCTAACTAAAGGGACTAACTTCAAAACATTTCAAATATCTAAGAGACAAATTATGATTTGCGAAATTAATTTCAAAACATTTAAGGATTGAGGGGACTAATTTCAAAACATTTAAAAATTCAGGAATTAATTTCAAAATATAACAGATTCGATGGACCCATATCGAAAAAATTTCTTTTCTATACTTTTTATCATTAATTGTTATAAATGTTTTCTAGTCAAACTTGGTGTGGACGTTACCTCAAATGGAAAACGCCTGAGCCAGTTGTCTTAAACATTCTCCACGTGCCAACCACCCGCCGGTTCTCCACACCGAGACCCAAGAAATTCGAGCGCTCTCGCTCACTCTTCACCTCCTCCTCCAATCTCTCCACTCTCTCCAATGGCCGCCGCCTGCAACCTCGGTAAGCTCAAAACCCTCAAAACTCAAAACCCCATTTCCCGATTCGGCAATCTCGGTAAGCTCAAAACCCCAGAAACTCAAAAGCCCATTTCCCCATTTTACCTACAGCTTGCAATAATTGCAGGAAACATAAACTAGATGACTATTGAGCCCACAACCAGCAGTAATGCCACCAAAATCGCCGAGCTCGAGGTCGCCAACCTCGTCGCTCGGCAAGAGGTCGAGAAATGGTGTAGAAACTGCTCAGCCCTCGAGGAGAAAGTTGCGAGGTTAGAAAGAGGACTGGAGTGTTTTAAGAGAAAGAGGGATGAGAGATCAAGATAGGATTAAAAGTTTAGTAGAGGATTTGGGGAGGAAAGATAGGGACTTTAGAGAGAAGTTTGTAGAGGTTGTTGGGTGGAGGAGGAAGTGTGAAGAGCTCGAGGGTGAGATCTCTGGGCTTAAAGAGAATGCAGAGAAGGTGTCTGATAAAATGCCCAAGAGAAGAAAAGGGAATAGACTAGTGACTCCAGAGCAAAAGAGGAGTTGGGAGCTTGTAGTTCCCGATAGTGAGAATGAGGGTGAGGGTGATGATGGGGTTTTATTAAAGAAATTGCAGAAGAAGAGGGTTAGGGAAGTGGGTGATGAGACCGATAAGGGCGATGAGAGCGAGGGGTCGAGTGAAGGAGACACCGAGGTGGATGAAGTGCAAACTCTTTCAATGCCTATAAATATCATGGAAGAGGTCCGACGCTTTTGGATTTGGCTAACGTTTCTCTATTGATTTATTTGATTTGATGCAATTAATTAATCATTTAGTTTATTCCATAACTAGGATTTTGAAAATAACTGTCACCATTCATAGTTGATGTGCAGATCTTCTAAGGAGGAGAAAGTGGTTTGAGGCTTTAGGATTTGATTAATGTTTTTTCTATTAATTCATTGATTTTCAATTAGTTAGTCATTTAGTTTGTTTCATAACTAGGTTTTTTGAAAATAATTCTCGTAATTCATAATTGATGTGTAAAAATCTATTACGCCTCGTTTGGTACGTGAGAATGAAGTCAAGTGAGAATGGAATGGAAGAAGGAATGGAATGGAATGTATGTGAGAATGGAATGGTCATTCCCATTCTCTTGTTTGGGTGCGTTTGTAGAATGAAGCTAGAATGAAAATCTAATTCTCATTCCCATGTTTGGTATCACTAGTTCACAAGTGAGAATGAAATCTCATTTTCTAATAATACCCTTATAACAACATAGATTTTTAATAAGATAAAAATAAACATTAATGATAATAACTATAAAAAAAATTATTTATGCATATGTTATATTAATCTAGGTATGTGCTATACTAATGGGCATGTTATCGATCAGGTGTATGTTTCGTTTATATTTTTTAAATAATTCTCACTATTTCTTAGTCTTAAATAATTAAATAAAAATAAATAAAAGATTATTGCATCTTTCATAGGTCCAAAAAAATATAAAGAATGAGAATACGTCGATTTCAGGGGCGATGAATAGAAAGAAGGCCTTTTTGTTTCGGTGGAACCTAAAAAACAAAGAGAAAATGAGAATACGTAGTCAAAAGCCATGATTTTTAAATTAATTCTTATTATTAATAGGGGTATAATTGAAAAAAATCTAACTAATTTGATTCTCCCCTTGAATGGGAATGATCATTCCCTATCTTCTCACTTGGAATGCTCATTCCCACAAAAAGTGGGAATGACCATTCCCATGGAATGGTCATTCCAACATCTAAAAACTAGTTTGTTTGGTAAGAGGGAATGAGAAGTGAGAATGACATTCCATTCCACCCCATTACCGCGTACCAAACGGGACCTTACGGGCGTGAAAGTGGTTTGAGGCTTCAGGACTTGGTTAATCAATTGATTATGATTCAAATAGTTAGTTATTTAGTTTGTTCCATATCTAGGTTTTGGAAAATAACTGTAATCATTCATAAATGATATGCAAAACTTCAAATATCTTCAAAAGGCATGAAAAAGGCTTGAGGCGTTAGGATTTGGAACTCATTTAAACATTATTTTGAGTTATATAGGTTGGTTGGTCGGTATTTCTTCTATTTATTCATTGACTGTGATGCAATTGTGTATGCATTTATGTCTGTTCTATTAGTAAGTTTTTGGTTTCTTTTGACACCAGTCATTATTGTATTGATCATTGACTCAAATATCCTGATATAGAAAATTTTAGATAGTTTAGTCTAAGATTTTTTGATGCTATAATGGTTATAGCATTTAAAAACTTATACAAACTCCATAATATTTTAGTAATAAATCTTTATCTGAAAGATGGTTATGCTTGAGCTAGGAAGCCGAGGCATGGAAATACATGGGCAAGGAAAGACACAACAATCTAAGCTGATAATTCTTTTAAAAGTGTAATGCGGGCAAAAAGCGACATGAAGAGAGTTATATTGGGGGTGTCCTGCCACCACATGTTTCCACATACAATACGATATCATATGAAATTTACTTATATGCTAAAAGAGCAAAGCAGACATTTTTTAATCATTTTGCGTAAAGATAGCTCTTGTATCTTTGACTTTCTCTAATATGTTTCTGACATCTAATATTATAATATATCTGATTTTATGATAGTTTTGTAGGAGTATTAGTTTGACGTCCTTTTTTTTATTAAAGTAAATAGTAAATACCATATATTAATACTTGAAGTTATTTAGATGTAACATGTGTCTAAAACATTCTCAAAACTTGACCATGGTGTCTCCAAGAAGTTGTTAAATTAAAATAGAAATGCTAGAAATGAACAAACCATAGTTACATAGTACGCGGTATGTAATGAGCCATGATATGAAGGTACGCAATTCACTACTTAGCTATCATGAATTTGATAGGGGTCAGGTTTCTTTAGTATGCAAATCTGGCATGTGGTACGTTGTAATTTTTTGATGTACTTACGATATCTCAAAGTGTATAATAGAAAAGTAGAAACTAGAAAACTAATTATACATTTTAATATTTTTCGCTAAAAAATATTTCAGTACTTCACTTTTAAAATTTCTGATTACATAAAACACGGAAAACTTAAAATTTTGACATACTAGTTCGGGTACCAGAGTGAATCAATACACAAATGTTACCATGTTCGCTACACAAAAACTGTACGATAGTTTGAGGGGGCTTACAAAGTTCGTATTTATGGAGCAACAGCTTGAGAAGTATTGAAGGAGTCTCAAAGAATTACCGATGTCTGAAATGTGATTGCACGGATAGACCTTCATAATGAATTGCTAATGTACAATGTGCTTTGCATGTCCTTCCTAGTTAGACGACGGGTTAATTTCAGTGTTCCTCCTCGGCAAAGAGCCTATTTATCACCTTTGTACAATTTAATAGTGAGATGAGGAATATTAGAGTATAAAACTATAACCATCAGCCTTCGTCCCAACTTTAGAGTTTTGGTGCAGTGACAGGTCTTTGCCACGATTCTAAAACACATTTAAATCTTACCACGACAACTTCTAAGACACATTCTAAAACCCATGTTAATCATTCTGCTACGATTCTAGAACACATTTAAAGCTTAATTACTATGACAAATTCTAAAGTAAATTAAAAAAAAGATATTGCTCGACGAGTTGTGATTTCGGCCCATGAAAGGGTTCCCAACCTGCGGGGGAGCATTAAAGTGCGGAATTATAACCCTCATCGCAACCTGAAGTTTTGGTGCAGTGGCAGGGTCATCCTTTGTAGACACATTGTTATTATCTTAAAGAATGAAGTATGACAATGTCTGTAAAGTTCTTCAAGCATCCAAGTGTTTGAGTTGTTTGACAAAATACATATTCACATATAATTTCAAGATTGGAATATATATGATACAAGGGCAAAATATTTTGTGACAAAACCATTCAATGTCTTCCAATGACATTAGATGCATTGCTCTTGATGTATCAGGATTTTGGGATTGCAAGGAAATCAAAAGGACTCTTGAAAGTTGCAGAAAGCGAGTAAAAGTCATTGGTAAGATTGCAACTTTTTTGATCCTTTAAAGATCTTATTAATTAGATGGAACTGGGTTTTTTTCCTTCACCTATTCTGAATAAAATAAATGGTGGTCTCGTCTGATTTTAAGTTTGTCAGTTGCAGCAAGGAAAGCTTATGCGGTATATAATACATTATCACCTTTCCTTTTGGAGTCGAACATAGGAAGAGCATTCCATTGACTTTAATGATTCAGAATTCTCTCACATTATATCCAGTATGCTATACAATAAGGTTTCAGAGAAGCAATTTATGTAAGTCTTAAAAAGGCTTTGTCTATTTTACAGACAAGGAATAGAAGCCTCAGATCAAAAAGAAAGTTTAAATCATTCGTTGCAAGATGTTCTTCAACTGCAAGAAACTCGGTCATATTTGACTATGATGGAGTAAGTTATCTTTCTTTTGTGTTCACAATTTTACAAGAATGAGTTGAAATCTTTGAAGTTTTGTTTGTAATTGGATTTTACAACTTCTCTATGGGAGTACTCATGATTCCATGAATAGCTGGCTTACTACTTGTTGCTAACTAACATTCATAAGCATAACCTATGTGCGCATATTACTTCATTCAACTGGCAGATATGCTATTCAGTTTTATTTTTGTCCCCACCTTCTACCTGTTGATTTTCTGTGGAAAAGTGCATACTTCTCTTAGTTCTATGGAAATACGCCAATGAATGCAAAGTTACATTTTTGGCACCCTGCAATTCATTTCTTACCATTTAGAAACTGTACATAACCTTTTATGCACGGATAGATAGATGTCCTATAGTTGGTCCTTTGAGGTGTTTCTTTTTTGCTTACACCACATTTTTTATTTTATGTTCAGTATAATATTTGTTGAGAAACCAATTTATGCTCATTCTAGACTACTGAAGTGCTGAAGCATTATCTTCAGGTTGGTGTTGGCCAAGGAAGTGTATCTTCTGCCAAAAGGTATAATTGCAGTTAGAAGTCATCTTTTTTTTTAAAAAAATAAATCCTTACCAGTGCGCTTTTTGGCTATCATCTTTGAGACAGAAACTCTAGAGAACGAGGATATAGGGGAAGAATTACTTCTTCAGAAGAAAATTATCGTGCAGTTATGAGAGCAGAGGAACTGTTTTGCGGAATGGAAGTAATGATGTATAGTGCTAGGGTGAACAGTACCCGTGAACAATGACTTCTCCTTTTTTAATTCTTTTGTCAAAATATTAAGAAAGATAAAAGATAAATAGGCTAGACTGGAGTCACTTGCAGCATCTAACCTTTAAAAACAATTGAAGAGGCCGGTTTCACACGCGGACGCCTAATAAAAAAATATGGCTTCACGCCTATGGAATCACTCCAAAACATCTCTCAAAACAATTGAAGATGCCGATTTCCCAAAATGAAACGTTACAATCCTTTTTATAGCCATAAAATAAAATCATAATCCTAACTAATTGATAACATCAAATCTAACAAATTACAATCCTTTTTATAGCCATAAAATAAAATCATAATCCTAACTAATTGATAACATCAAATCTAACAAAATAACAAAATCAACAAGTCCTAACTAATTGATAACATCAAATCTAACAAAATAACAAAATCAACAAGATAACAAATCTAACTAAATAAAAGATCCAATCCTAAACAAATATCACAAAATCATATTCTTAAAAAAATCATAACTAATACGATCTTCTGGATGTCCTACATCAATTCCCCTCCTCTTTAAATTTGACATCCTTGTCGAAAATGCTAAATGAGATTGTAAGCTTCTACAGTGTCATCACAAAGGTTTTTTGTGTTGCGTGCAGCGGAAATTTCGGCAGCACTTCGGCAGCACAACAAGAGAGTTAGATCGCAATAAGAATTCCCATTTCACCAAGGAGACAAGAATCTGAAGCGGATATCTCAACAAAGTGAGATATCAGCTCTTCCTCTCATCAGTTCTAGGACTGACCTGTCGAGGGATCCTAAAAGCTATTACAAATCACACAAAAACAGTACAATCAATTTTTACGTGG